TTAAAAAATCAACCCAGTATGAAAGACTGTTGATGCATAGCGACTTTTTACTACAGAATTTGATACAATGAATTGTGTCACTGGGAGAAAAAAGGAAGAGCAGGAAGTACTGTAATGGAAATATTGGTGGAAGAGGTTAAACTGAAGAGAAGTGTCCCTTACATTAAGCAGGTAAAAAAGGAAGGATTTGTGTTGTGTTTCCCCACCCATTTGGCTGGTAGCTCTGGAGCTACAGTTACGAAAATATTGAAAAAAGTAAGTTATCCCTTTATCACTTCCCCTCCACAATAGACTCTACTTCCTCTGGAGACCAAAATCCATTTCTTTCTAATCTGGATGATGTTACCTAGTAAGGTAATGAAACATCTGCAAGGAAACAACCAAGATCAGAGAAAACTAAAGACCATCTACTTCCTCTTATTAAGCTTGGTAGGCAATACATTTTGCTTCATTCAAGAAATCAACCAAGGATTTCATATATTGGATTGAACGAACTTTGGAACGAACTCCCCGTGGAGATTCGTACCCTCACCACCGTCCAGGCCTTCCGCACAGCCCTTAAGAACTGGCTAGCCCGTCAGGCCTGGGGACAAGGATAGTTGCCCCTCCCGAATGATGAATGTATGTTGCTTATTACTTTTATTATATGTGTCTATGTTATTGTTTGTATTTCCCCTCCCTGATTTTATGTGAGCCGCCCTGAGTCCCCTCAGGGAAAAGGGCGGCCTACAAATGTTAATAAACAAACAAACAAACAAACAAACATATGTTGAAAACTAGATAGAACTGAAGAAAAGAAGAATGAGCAGAAGGGAGGACCTACAAATGAAAGAAATAATCAGGACAGCTGCAGCAAATTTTTATACCTAGAAGGGACAGTATTCCTGCCTTCAAAGACATCTGGTTGATGTAATGTACTAGTCATTCTCTTCAGATCATATAATACTTCTATTACTCATGCACACTGCTTCCTTTTATCACACAAATCAGATCAAAATCCATCAAAGGCAAACAGTTCAATGTTTCCTTCACTAACTCAAGCAGTGGATAATACCACTCATTATTCTTTTCATAGCAGCAGTGTTCAAGGGCAAGATCTAATATTTTGTTTATAAACAGCTACTGGGGAACTATATTTCACCATGTGGTTGTAGCAACAGATTCATCAGAATGTGAGAATTGCAAACAAATGAACCAAATAAACATGTCTTCAAAATTAAAGATCCTATGCCATAACTCTTTGCATTACTTACACTCTTTGACATTCCAAGAACATACTTATCCAGATACATTGTACTGTACAAAGAAGCAACAAGAAATCTGAAATTCGCTTGCAATGTCAGAAAGATTAGTATCTAAGAGTTAGAATAAAGATCCAAATTAGATGCCAATAGATATATTCCTCACTTACCAACTGCCTCGTTTAGCATCTGTTCAGTTACTAGTATAAAAATAGCTTTGTGAGCACTGACTGACAATTGCCGGTCAGATGCTTTGCAACCAGTGTGCATTTACAACCATCGCAGCAGCCCCATCACGATTGCCATTTGTGTGTTTTGCAACTGGTTTGCAACAAAGTATAGCTAATAGAGAAGGCAGAAGTCGTACATCAGTCACCCGATGTTTTTACATAATGACCCGAGTGATTCACTTAACAAAAGAGGAAATTAGCCTCACACAATCCCATGAATTTCTGCTTAGCAACCATAGCGACAGTTGCCAGTTCCAATCATGGTCGCTAAGTGAGGACTACCTGCATGCAATATATTTGAAACAGGACAGACAAGCAAGCCAGGCAAGCAGGAGGCCAGGGCTTTGTCAATGCTATGATCATGCAGTGGAAATGCAGAAATTAGCTGGGAAAGGATTCAGCATTCTGACGATATCTGTTCTTGGAAGGTAACATCACATATAGGGTACTTTTGTTAATGAGAATGGATCAGATATTTTGTCCCAAAAAAACCCTAAAGGCTATGCTTTCACTTAAGGGTTGGAGGTGAATGCTTTGCAAATAATCCATATCTGATGAGTGAAATTTCAAATGATATGGAAGGAGAATTTTGCATAACAAAGATGTCAAACTGTATTAGGAGGGAAGGATGCATAATTTGGCATTTTTTTTAAATATAAAGTTCTGATATTTGAACTGAAACACAGAACTTTAGATTAATTTCAATTCACCAGTCAAGCAAAAATGTCCAAATTAAAACTGCTGGGTACTGCTGGGAATATAATGTGTAGTATACTATGCTGTGATGAAGTAGCATGAAAGCTGTTAAGTTATTCTTCTGGTTCCTGGTAAGTTTTGCCTAATAGCAAAATTTAATAGCTGTTCTACACGAGTGTTAAGAAACAGGTACATTTTCACCAAAAATAGCCCGTTCATGGTGTATTTCAGCAATTTTCATAAACTTAATTAAAAATTAAACAGAAAACTGTCTTGGATTGCACTTTTATTCTGATTTGTTTCTTCTAGCTCACCAGCCAAGATAAATTCTATTACAGGAAAACTCTTTCAAAGAAGCTTAACTTCCAATAATTTTAATATAAAGATTTTATCCCATTGACAAATGTATATTTGAGCTTTAATGGGCCTTCAGATAACCCTCTGAAAGCACAATGCTTTTTAAACACAATTGTTGCTAGGTATTAGAGCATAATTTTGGAACATGTGGTATGTATACATGTTTTAAATGCACCGATAGTTACAACATGCTAAAGCTGATCTCTGAGTTTATCTGAAACTTCTACTGAAATCTCAGTAATTATAACAACCATTCAGTAACAGGCAATGAATAGTTTAGAATTTAATCTGAAATCTGTTGCTCACTTACTTCAGAAATAAATAAATTGGAGGTAGTTAATGTGTTTCCATATTAGTATTTATTATTTTTATCGATTATATTTTGTTACTGAGACTTCATTATAGCATAAGCCTGCTGAAAACTTTCTATTTTGTAAGTGAATGCTTTATTTCTTAAAGGAAAGTCAATCTTCTCAAAGAATGTCAGTCTCTCCTTAGAAAAGGGCAAGCAATAATCCAAAGGGCGGTATCTCAAAATCGCAGTAGCCCCATAAAGTTGCCTAACCGTCTTAACAAAATGTAGTTTAGGGGGGGAAAAACAAGTCCTTTTGCTGTCTTCCATTGCTTTGGATAAAATGAAACACAAACTAATGTTTTTCCAGATTCAATTGCATTATTAAAAATTATTTTTAAGACATCTGTGTTAAAACTGTATTAAAACGCAGTAAATATAGTCTTCAACTTACAACCACAATTGGGACCAGAATTTCCATTGCTAAACAAAGCAGTGAGTCATACCTGATTTTATCACCTTTTCCATGGTTGTTAATCAAATCACTGCAGTTGTTAAGTGAATCACATGGTTGTTAAATGAATCCATCTTTCCCCAGTGACCTTGCTAGTCAGAAGCTGGCTGGGAAGGTCACAAATAGCAATCATGTAACCCAGGGACGTGCAACCCTTGTAAATACATGCCGGTTGCCAAGAGCCCCAATTTTGATCATATGACAATAGAGAGGCTGAGACAGTGTAAAGTGCAAGTACTGGTTATAAACCACTTCTTTCAGTGCCATTATAACTTCAAAAAGTAGGTAAACGAATGGTTGTAGGTTGAGAACTACTGTAATGAAACTTAAGCCCTCTATTAGTCTTAAAAATTAATTTCAAAGTTGTTTGTTAAAGTTTACCCAATTTAAAGAAATTATATTTGTGTTAGTTCAGAATGTTGTGTCTGACATTAAGCGGAATCCAAGTTTTATATAAAGAATGTGTGCAAAGGAAAAGCTCACAAGAAGAGCTGAAAGCAAAATATAATTAGTATCCTTCAAGTTACATAGGCACATATAAAAGCTACAAAGTATTACCCGAAGAAAGAAGCACCACAAATATCAGCATTTATTCATTTTTAACTTTTTAGCAAAAATGACAAAATACCTAAGCTCAATAGTTTTAATTTATTAGCTTAGGATTAAACATTACACATTTTTGTTAAAATGAACTAAATTGCCAGCAATCATGCAAAAACTAAAAAAAACATCCTTAATTTGTTTAAACCAGAAATGCACCATCAGTAACATATTAACATTATTCACTACTAAATGCTAAATGCTTGAAGTTAAATTTGTCTCAGAAATGTTAACTTCACAGTAAAATATTAATTGGCTCACATATCAACACCTAAAAACAAAAAAATAGCAAAAAAGCAAGATTCATGCTAATATTAGTGTACAATGGATATCCCTAACAATAAAATAAGCTAAAAGTTTACCTAAAATCATGTTTAATATAAAGCAAAGTGCGTACAGAAATTTA